TGTTTTGTTTTGGTTTGGTTTTTGTTTGTTTTGTGTTTTTTTTTTTAATGTGTGAAAGTGATTTTGATAGAAGGAGAAGATATAGTGGTATAGCTTGATTTAACCTTAGGCATTCTTGTTTCATTAACACATTTCTCTGGACTTGTACTGCAATGAAGAGATCCACCTTACAATGAAAATAAAGGAATCAAGTACTTACAAACACTGCCATAAACTAGAGAAAAACAACGTTTCTGTTAATAAACTTGTACTGAACTCAATTTAAAAATACCTTCTTGGCAAACATTCATATTTGAAATACGTAGATGGTACTTCCAAAGGCTTGAGGGAAAATCATAGCAACGACAACTCTGGTAAAACACTGAAAACTTTGCTCTTCTTGTAATCCAGAAATTAGAAATATAGAAAGAAAAAGATGCAAAATGCAAATGCTTGTACTGAATGAAAATTTTCGTGTATCTTACATCTTACAAGCTGTTATTTTGTCAGGTTGTCAGACTGTTCTTAATGGAGAAAAGAAAGGTTGCTGCCCACAAAACCAGATTTTTAACAATTAACTGATAATCATGCTACAGATGCATAAAAAATTTCTATTGGATAGAGTGTCAAACAATTATATTGAAATGCAGTATTTTTCTAGGTACCAAAGAAAGATTTCCAAGTGTGAGACCAAAAAAAGCAACAATTGAAAAATTAATGGCTATGTTATCTTTTCTTTCCACTTTGATTTCTAGAGAAGCTTCCTGGGCTGTGCAACTTTTAGAGTAGGAGATCTGGTAAAGTCAAAGGAGCAACAGTTGACCCTTACCCTCAGGTAAGTTTTTTCCTATGTTTTAAACCAAGTTGAGTTAATAACCCTTGGCATTTCTCATCCAAAGAAGGCAACAAAGCTGGTGAAGGGTCTGGAGCACAAGTCGGATGAGGAACAGCTGAGGTAGCTGGGAACCTGGACAAAAGGAGGCTCAAGGGAGACCTTATCACTTATGTGCAGTCAAACTGGAATTGTGGAGGGTGGGGTATGTGATGTACAACTCTAATTAGTGGTGGCACAGAGCTGCAGAAGACTCAGAGCCAGTGTTCAAAACCAGGAGCCGGGCTGGACAGATACTTCTTAAAGCTGTGCACTGAAGGAAGGAAAACTGTCTTGTGTGGCTTAAAATAAAACAAGATACAAATCAAGACATTTTGAAGGTTAGGGGAAACCTTTTAGGTGGTGATTTTCAGAATAAATTCATTGGACTTTATATAGTGCTGGGATTTTGTTGAGCTGATTTTTGCAAGCTCAGTGGGGGCTTTATTTGGGATTACTGGGAAGGCAAAGGTAAGCTTCACAGAGCAACTGCTCAAACTCACTGGGTATCTAGACACACAACACTTTGGGAGGAAAGGAGCTGTGACCAGGAAAACTGAGACACTGGTATTTTTTCTGTCTGTGATATTGTACATAGGTTCTGTAGAAAAATTGTGTTACATTTGTCTCTCATTTTTTGGGACAAACTTTGCTTCACTGACTGCCATATTGAGAACGTGATCTGAAAGATTGCCTCTGACAAGTGCCACAGTAATTGACTGAATGTAAAGTTCAGGAAAGTTTCAGATTAACTACTTCGTATCTAACCAATCTAATTTGTAAGCAAAAAGTTAAGATAGATAACTCATGAGCAATAAATTGGCTTCTAATTAATATTTTTAGTCTTGTATGCCCTCTTTGGTCAGCTTACATTAGAAGACAAATGTACCAATTCAAATTAATTTGCAGATGCAGTAAATGGTAGTTTTTAGTTAGTTGGATTTTTTTTTTTTTTTGAAAAAAAAGTTCTAACCTTTCAAATGTGGGATTGTTTCCTGATTATGACTATTCAGCAGCAGAAAAATCAATAGAAATTATCCACATTCCTTCAATGACAGATTAACCAGAGCAGCCTACTGATTTAAGCTTGCTTTTCTCTAATCACGCTATTATATTAGTATCCTCTCAGGAGGATACAGGATATACAAGGGACTTGTCAAAGCATGCAATTCTATTTAGTTCTTGTTGATATAGTTTGGATGGGAGTTTACCAGGGAGTGCCTGTGATTGAGATACTCCTTTGTTAGATTTGAAGTAGAGATTTAAGGACCTGGAAATAGCTCTGTGGTGTGGCCTGTAAATATTGGTGTAATTATAGAATCTGGTTACTTTTTAATTGGTTTTTTTTGTTTGTTTTGTTTCCTTTTTTTTTTTTAGTTATTATGTCTTGCCTTTGTCTTTCTGAGGCACAATGTAAAAATATAAAAGTGGTTTTTAAAGAATGTACTTGTATTTTTTTTGTTATTTTGTGGAGAGCAGACAAAAGTCTACAGTTCCTTATTGTTGACAAACTGTGCTCTGATTTTCCATTTTCCCACCATTGTACCCTAATAGTGATTAGGGACATAACTTCTTTTGCAGAGGTTTTGTAACTTTTTATTTTGATTGTCCTTTCTTTTCTATAAAAGTGCCTTAAACTGGTGGCTGAGTGTTCCTTGTAAATGTGTGGATCTACAGCTAATCATCAGAACATGGGCAGGTCAATTTGTAGGATTGCTTCAGTGTTGACAAAGTCCGCAATTGATGTTGGCAGAGGAATTTAGTTGCTAGAGACCTGAGATTGCAGTTTCCAATATGAAATTTATAAAACCAAAATTGCCTTCCATAAACTTTAGTGTTTAAATTTGCAACGGTAATACAACAACACTAACTTCCAACTTTCTCACAGGGTTGTCATGGTGAACAGGATAAAATAGGCTATTGAATAAAACAAACCCCTTATTCATTAGGGGAAAATTTCTTGATATTGACTATGTGATATAGTGTATCCAATTTTTAAAAAAAAGCATACGTTTTCTCTGTGAAAAAGTGTACATATTTTTTTCTTACATATACTGTCTGCTAATTTAGTAATTAAAACTGATGTGTGGTTTGTTGGGGTTTTTTTGTTTGTTTGTTGATTTAAGTTTTAGGTTCAGTTCTGAGGCTGTCTTTGCCATACCTTTCTGTTAAGAACAGCATAATGTGATGGGGTTTTTTTGCTTAGTTGAGGTCTGTGGCTTTTTGTAAAGCTAGCAGTTGGTACTTCCATTAGCTGCTTCCCCTGTGGTGTTAGTTTGCCTGTTTCCAGGAAAGTCTTCTTTAGCTTGGGCAATTTTGGTACGGTTTCCAGTGAGTTAAGTGTAAGAAGCAGCAAAGGAAAAAGATAATAGTTCTCCCTTGTGTTCTCTAAAAAAATTAAGTACATGTTCTGATGTGCTCTTCTTAGCAGATGTAGTTTATCTGAGACACTGTGCCTGTGGATGTCTGTCAGTCATGTACTCTACAGACTTTCTTTAAACATATGCCTGTGCTTGACCTCTTGGACAATATCTTTTTGTCTAGCTATCTCCTTTTTTTAGCTGTCTTATTTTCATTGTTCTTGGACAGGACTGAACTGATTTCCTCTAACTGGAGGAGATAAACCAGTTATTTTTGGAAAGTTCAAAATAACAACTCCAAGACTTCATTAAAGAAAGTCTTCTTAACTTCCCTCCCTCCCTCCCAACACCTTGTAGTTCAGTGGGCCAGAAAACACATAAATGCACTTCAGTAATAGTTACATTCACAGTGTTTAACTAACTAGAGAAAATTTGAAAACAGCACAGTAATTTTTGCGGTCGTTTATGTACTTGAAATAACTTCCCTAGCAAATGATGGCTATAAAATAATATAGCTGTTTTTTTTTTTTCTATTTAAATTCAGTAGAAATCTGCTTTCAACTAGTTTTACTTGGTCTCCATCCTGAAATTGTTTCTTGGCTGCTTCATGTCATGTCATCCTCCCAAGGAAACTGGTGAACAACAGCTTGCCTTTATAAGTCAATACATTTGAGGTGAAACCTGTTTTGACATGAAGCTTAACTGTACATTGAAATCAAGAGAACAGAAGGAATTTAACGTTGCAAAACTTTGTTTATTTACCTTAGAATGCAACAGAATGTCGTTTACAGGGGACTTGTTTTAAAGCAATACCAATTGCACTAGGCTCCACTGTGAATTCACAGATTAAAAATTTTTTTGTGCAAGTACAATAATGTTGTGCTTGGATATTTCAAAATATATTGCATCAGTGGAGAAATTAATTTTATGACAATCTATATGTTACTCTGTACTAATCACATTTATTTTGTATTATGCATTGGAGAAAGGGGCTGCCTGCTAGACTCAGTCATGCAGTTTACTTTTCAGGCAGTAACTCACTTTGTCATTTATAATGAACATAGCTATGCAAATATGCAGTCTGCTTCCCTTTTCCTTTGTGTTTTTGAACCTTTTTCTTTTGAAAGGTGTATGGCCATGGGAACCAATTAGCAGGCCTAAATTTGCATATTCAACATTCAGTAATGCGACTTGATGAGATCAGCACTGAAGGCAAATGACTGCCGTTCTCAGTCCATCTACCTTTCTTTTCCACCATTAACTTGTTACCTTCTTTCTCTCTGCATGCCTGGGTCAATATGTTATGTCCAGAACTAGCAAGGCACATATTCCAGCTGAGTGAGATGTTGCTGGCTAACTCCTTCCCTCACGTTTGAGGGAACTGATACTGACCTGGTAATCCTTAAGGACTTGGGATGGTAAAGAAATCTATTTCTAATGCAACTGCTCCATGGACGGATATGAGATGATTTCTGCTCCTTGTCCCAGGCTGCTAAAAAAATCAGCAATTTTCCAACTCCATAAACCAACTAGATTTTGTACCTTATATGGACTTCTTCACATTGACACTTTTAAATTCCTTTTGCTGTATTCCTTGTCCCCACTGTCCCTACGCAGATTTGTTAAGGTGCAATCGTTTATCCTGCAGGGCTGTAGTATCTCCTGTCAGATGACCGTTGTTATAAGTTAGTTTAAGAGTTTAGACAACTCAATTCCAATTAAAAATTGATAAATTTATTAAGCAAGCGATAATAAAGCAAACAGCGCTGGGTGGTCTGGGGGGCAAGTGCCCCGCCCGAGACACACACACACATTGTTTGAAAACCGGGCTTTTTGTACCCTTTCG